AGCTTCTGTAGGCCATCCACTTTGTGTGAACAGCTGTCCATCGGCATTTTTGGAGTCATCGTAGTAACCAATCAATGGGCGGTTAGACCAATCAACGTCATACCACGAGCTGTTCAAGTTTGCGCGTTGGTCACCCAAGGCGTTTGGCGTAAGGGTGTTATCGGAAAGATTACCCTGCAACACATCACTAAGGAGTTGCCCGTCTTCAGGAAGCTGGTCTTGCGCAAGGTTCGGTGCTGGGGCGTCCGGATCGGTGATGGACGAGGCAGCATGCACGTTGAACGTGAACATGGTTATCTCAGCATCAGTCGTAGTGGCTGTAATCTCGAGAAAGTCCTCTATGATACCCGTGAGCAAATCCAGCGTCATCAGAGATGTACAATTATAGCTCCCGATTTGCAGGAGCGGTGGTCCATTGGGGGTGGGGAAGTCGACTATGGTCGGCGTTGCTGCACTCGTCGACGATGTAGAAGACGAAGATGGGGTAGATGATACCGCGTTTGTCGAGCCTGATGATGACTCTGCAGACGCAGGAGCCGATGTCAACGTCTCCTGGCGTTTTCCAAGCTGCGGAGGAATTTCCAGTGTAGATAGAGGAGTATCCGCACTCAATCTATTAGTTGTAGGCACCACTGTTGGTCCCGTCGCCACTGGTAAAGCACCCTCATCTGAGCTGTCTTCATTCGACTGGGGTAACTCCACTGGACATAGACTCCATACTGAACGTAGCGGATCCCAGTAAGTATCGACTGTGAATTGTCGAAAGCCGACAGCTAACAAGTTTGAGAAGCACTTTTGGAAAGCATTATGTTCGTACTGGTTATTCGTGAAGCAGGCTTGAGCTAACGATACAGCTGGCGTAGTATGGAAGTTGATGGGAAGTTGAAGCCCTACATCTCGTTGTGCCTACCATCAGTCAGCGATTCTGTTCGCTGATACTGCGTACGTCGAGCATGAGCCGACGGATCTGGAATGGTGCCACGAAGACCGCGCATGGACGTGTGATGGAACACAACCCCAACACCGTGCGACTACTTCACTGATGAATGCACGGAGTGCAGACAGCTGACACTTACTCTGAATGCCTCAGTCCAGGGCTCTATCCAACGCGTGTTCACAGCGCTCTGATCCGGGTTATACAACTTGTTAGCCGACATTCCCGCTGGCGAACCCGGGGACCAGCACCGTAAACACGTGGCTCACACCTCGCGTGCAACGGAAGGGATGAACGACACCCGTAAGCAGGGAACGCGATAAGATATGTTTAGAAACAGGATACAACGTGGAGTGTTCGTATATGCAGATGCAGGTGTTGATGGGTAGGATGTCGTTGGGATCTGCAGGGCTGGATGCGCGACCGCGACGGACCAACGGCATCACGTGGCAGCCCGCTAGTTTTCCCACCAATCCCCTTCCGGCTAAAACTCGACTGGCCAATGATGACGATTCGCATCGTCAAACTCACCGTTCAAAACACCAAGACTGCAATTTGCCAGCGACGATTCCAGCAAAACGTCCGGTGGCTTGCATCACGATTAAGCACCGGGTCGTTTGCAGAACGAGTGGGGGATATGGGGTATCACTGTTTACCCTTGATATAGTCCAGGTGTTCCGCATATTGTTCCCGAAGATTAGAGAAGGATGAGTACAAGCCTCGCACATACGCTTAATACGGGCGTTATAGCTAGGCTTACACAATACCGAACCCGCGTTGCTGGCAACTCGCTACCTACCGCCTGTAAGCGAGAGCTCGTGTCTCACTGCTCTGTACGACCTTGATCGACGTCCGAAAAAATGTTGAAAGAGCTTGCCGGCTGGATGATATGCAGGTCTGCGGCGCGAGGGAAAGCGGACAATGCGTTGGGAGCGCATGGAAGGTTGCGAAAAGCTTGCCGCAGGTCACTGGGAGTAATGCAGGTATGCGGCGCACGCTGACGCTTACAGCACAGATTGCCACGAGTACATTAAACGGGAGAAAAAGGGCCGCTGCAGGAGATGATGAGGTACTGCCATTACGACCCAGTTTTACACGGGATGTCTCCTGGCTGCGGATGCAACGTTGCTGTTGTGGTAAAAGGTCCGCTAGCTGTAGGCGGTCGAAGCAGCGTTGCCCACGGTAAAGCCGAGAGAGTCGGAGCGGTGACTCCGGAAAATTTCTGCACCTTTGCCAATGAGGTGAACGAATAAACGAATAGAAGGCTCCAGGCATGGGGGCCTTGGAAGGATGCAACGCAAGCCGCTGATGCGGCAGGTGCACTTCTGCCTCCTGACAGGATGGAGAAGCAAGTTGCAAGCAAGTCTGACATAGCGACACCTGCGAACTCTGTGTTTGGCATAGCAAGATGGTATCGTTGCATCGAGAGGTCTCCATCTGGAAAGTGCGTACACTGCCACAGGAGGCGGCGATCATTCCGCAGTGTCAACACATTCGCAGTCGCCGAAGCCGAAACCGACGCGAGCCCCAGTATCGGCAAAAGCAGAAACCACGGCTCCAGCTGTTGCAACAGTTCCGCACGTCCGCGGGGATATCCACAGTTGTTTGACGTCTAACGTCTTCACTGCGTATGCACACAAACAAACGAGGTTTCGCCTGGACCCAGTGACTCCACAAGACTGTTGACGCAACCGCTTCCCGTGCGCGTTTCACCGAGGCCATCAGAAGGTAACCGAGCGTGCCGAGCAGCTCGAAGTCTGGTTACGAGGGTCTTGGTCTGACACCCGTCTGATTGACTCTGACAGTCCTGCATACCCCTACATATGTAGTGCGGTTGTGAAAGCGACGCGTTTCGTGCATAACTACTACCTCAAAGCTAGACATGCGATCCTGGACATAGGAAAAAGGTTTCACCATCTGAGCTGCATGCACATGTCATAAGTTCGACCGGTTGGTAGCCCCGCCACGAGCCACAGACTTGAGGCGGAGGAGGTCCGGCACGATCTACGCTAGAGGACGACGTTGTGATGCTTGTGCAGATCGAAGGGATCACGACATTCACACGCAGGAACCCACCGTCAGAAGGGCCTCATCGAGTCCCCTGATGATGTTGTTCGTAAAAAGAAACATGCTCAGGACCGAGTTACGCCGGACTATCGTAACCGTACCGTTCAACGTTCAACGGTAAATGGGGATGTGCATGCGTCTACTCGCCCCCGAACAGAAGCGAATCCGATGTCCCACAATACCGCCGTCCCTGGTACCGATGAAGTCGCATTGTGACATGTATGGGCCTGAACCAAAGCCGATGGATCGCGGACCCGAGGGACTGGAAACTGAAATACTCCCTCTCGAGGACGGCGACCTTCCACCAACGGCTCAGCGACGGCGTTGTCCTTAGCATCACAGGGAAGGGCGGTAGACTATGGGATTGAACGGCGACATCCTCTCGACGGCGCCCACCCGGTACCAGAGTTCGAAAGACGCTATCGATTAGACCTTCTGTGTCCGCATTAGGGTACCAGAGTTTGAGCTATGCCATATGCACAAAATGCCCGTGTCTTTCCAACGCTCCTTGCACCATTGCGGACATGGAGATATGCGCTAGTCGCGAATCTCGCGAGCCGTCGCACACTAGAGCGTAGATCAAAGTCTAATAGCCGTAAGCGGTAAGGTCACCAGTAGCCGCATGATCGAAGTCCCAGTGTCTTGTTTTCAGTGTTTTTCTAGTCGCCGACCCTGTGTGTAGTGCGTTGGCCGATTGGAACGTTGACATGGACGGCTCAACGATCATACCGAGGACGTTGAATCGTGAAATACGAAAGATGCGATTCGCTCGGATGTGCGGTGGTAGGGGGCCAGAGCGACCGTACCGCACCGGGCGGGATTGAGTGTATGATTCGTGAACACAGCTAGAGCGAGGAGATCACGGTGGGCGTATCTGTGCGTACAAACTGGAGGTGCGTGGACAGTTCGTAATTTCCACAGCTGCAAAGTAAGTGTGGCATGGGGAAGTCTTCCGAAACTATTGCCTCCGTCACGGATTGCTATCGTGGTATACGTCCATCCCAGGGAATCCCTGGGGACATGTTTCCAGAAGTGCCGAAGCACATCTTCATGTCGCAGGTATCACGGGTGACAGATTCTTGCTCAGCGGTCCAGAGCCCCACCTCGGCCACTATTGGTGGCAGTGTTAGGAAAAGGAGCGACCAATCAGTCATTTTAGAAGAAGTTATTGTTCGTCAGCTGTGTGGGTCCAGTCCAATAAGGAGACGGTGTAGGCGACACTGCAGAAGCTGCGACGGGTACGACTGCGTGGACTGATCGGGATCGCGGCGAGATCGCTCCATGCGTACGTTGAGGTGTGGAGAGGGGTTTTCAGCGTGGTGGCTATCGCGGACGATTGTGAGTATCTGTCACGAGTGGGTACCACAAGCAGTCGAGATGTCATTGGAGCGGTGAGCTCTCGCCTTGAAGCGTTTAGAAGCCTGGAACTTAGTGTTCGGCGATCGCTGTTCAGTGTGGGAACTCCTTGTTGTACCCCGTCAGGCGTTCAAGTGAGGGAACTTGGTACTGGGAGTCACTAAGGGATCGTGTGATGATTGAAGTTTGTTCACAAGGTCATAATTTGTTATAGTGTATTGTTTTTGATTGGCATCGGTGTAGACGCTTGCGGGTGCTGTCGCACTGCTGGGTATTATTACTGGCGACTAATTGTCGCAGTGTACAGTAAGACCTCCCTGGGTCCAAATGGAGAAACGCCGTAGTGTGTCGGACTTCGACATAGGCGACGCTACCTGGCTCAGACAAGCCAGAATAGAAACAAAATAATGTGCCTCCCAACCGTGACACATGAACAGAGATGCTACATGGGGTATCCTGAGAGTCGTGTACAATGTTTCCCTTTTTAGGTGCATCCAAAACCAGAGTAGACAAGGTTGAAAAGCTTTGTAACAAGCAAGGTGTCGATCATTGAACATCGGCCATTAATAGAAGTAGGTTGTTTGAAACATGCGACGTATAGACAAGAAGGGGTATGGTGAACAACGTGAAACATGATAGACAGCTACATGATGTTTCGCAGCGACATCCTGTCCTTTGGTGAGACGGGCGCACTTCTGACTTCCGCTGGAACAGATGGCAGCACGTAGGGTGACGGTAGTTGTCGCGCAGCTGGACTGGTGCTTGCGCTCGAGGACTGAGGGACCGAGAGTGTCGGCTCTGCGAGCGAATGGAAAGGGGGCAACGCTCGTTGGGGCACACTAGTCGGCGCAGACTGAGGCATAGAGTGGTGATGTGTGAGCTGAGGGGTAGGCTGAGTGAGCAGTCGCGGTGGTTGTGGTCGCTCGTAGTTGGGCTCCCGGAAGGCAGGCGCAGGCTTGGGCGCAGAGACTTCACTGCGGTGGAGCGGCGGGAGTTGTAATGAGCCGCGTCGCCTGTGCAGGTCGTATGAGGAGTCGTCTTCGGGCGCAAAGCCGGTGGTAGGCAAGTAGCGGGTGGAAGAGCTTTTGCGCTCTTCCCTGCTACCAACTAATGGAGCAAGTGTGATGTCGAGAGGGGAAGCTGCGCCACGAGGCGAGCGCGACTCTGAGCCAGTGTCGGTGATCAGGGAAGGAGCGCCATCAGCAGATACGATGGAGTAGCCAGAAGGCGAGGGCATGGGTGTCTCGAATCCTCGTGCTCGTACTGTGGCGGATGCTCCATAGGCTGAGATGTCAAGAGGCTGCGGGCGCGATCCGGGGTATGGCTCGAAACGCTGGGGCTGGGGCAGCTTGAGTGCATGTGGAGAGTTGGTTGGAATGTTGAGAGAGGACCTGTGTGAGTCGTGGTATGAAGACACCCGGTGCTCCTCGTGATGAGCCTGGCTGTGGGGTGTTGGGTAGTGGTAGCCAGTCTGGGGATGGTGCATGTGCTCTCGGGATCTTTGTTCAGGACGCTCAGGATTGCGCTTGCGGCGGTTCTGGCCACCATTCCACCAGTTCTTGACTGCGTTGTCGCTGCGTCCCTTTAACCGCCTTGCAATCTCCGCCCACCTCTTGCCCATCTCAGCGACCATCTTCTCAATCAGCTCCCCCTCTTCTCCGGTGATGGGATCATGGTTCAGTGTTGGCTTCAGGTTCTGGTGGTAGCGCTCTCTGCATTGCTTTGGTGACCGGGAGCCAATCTCCTGTGAGATGCGTACCCAGTTGTGAGGTCCATTACGGGCGACGAGGTTAACGAGCCACTGATCCTCGTGCTGCGACCAAGGGCCGCGTCTGTGGGCAACCATGTCGAACTCTTCTGAGAGGGAAGGAGCGACACAGGGTTGAAGTGAGGTATTGGGTCCGCGCTGGTATGAATGCGGCGGACGGTGAGCACGTTCAAGGTCAGACTCCTCGATTATGGCTAGATGATCAGGGAGATCAAGATGTTGGTTGGGCTTGAACTGTTGCAAAGTGTGGGGATGTGCTGCATCGTGGGTTAGTTTTGCGTACATCATTAGAATGGGGCAGGCGAGGAGTGCAACCAAGACTATCTCAGAACATTTGGTGATCAAATGCAATGAATGACAGTAGGTATAGTTGGGATGCAGCGCAGGCTGAACAGTAGTAGTGCTGAGAGCACGGTACAACAAATGCAGCCGATGACAAGGAGAGGTGATGAGTGAGGGTAAGACGTACCTGATTGTGCGGATGAGAAGCACAGAGCAAAGTGTCAGTGTCGATTGTTGTATGGTAGAGGGGAAGTTGAATGATGGTTGACGTTGTTAGACGAGCCAACGGTAACGTGGTAGAGGCGGGCACTGGTATATATCACGACGGGCGCGGGGAGGAGTAGTCAGGACACTTGGACGCCAAGGCGGTCGAGGAGCTATTGACTTGTTCGGGACGGGCAGATGTGAGCGAGGATTCTGCTTTTCAGACGATGCGGCTAAGGCACTGGTGAGATGGTGGACGGAGAGCGCTGGGGCGTCATGCGGCGCTCTGAGCGACTAGCTGGGCCCTGAGCAGCAGAGGGCTAATGTAATCGTTGTCGACGACGCACACAAGCAGCGATGGACCTGGTTAGGTGCCAGATCGTCGGATTCGACAAGTACCCTGTATCACATCGTGGCATGGCGTATGGCGCTCGCCCGGCGCCGACTTGGGACGGCAGAAAAAGCAAGCGTTGCGCCCAGCTCGCATTACCACCCTGGAAACAAGCGTAGTGAAGTGCTCCCCCCTGCGACGCTCCCTGGCCGCCGACAGCGCGCTCGTCCCCGCCAGCGGCCCACCGCTCGCGCGAAATGGTCGCATTCGCTGGGGCCCCTGGCCGTTTCGTTGTCGATTCATGATGGTGCACGCTAGCAGCAAGGCCGGTGGGATTCAGAAGACACCATGGAGACAGTCAAAGATACCCCCACTCGGCGCGATACTTGGACAGCCCCTGCCCACAGTAAAACCAAACATATCGACCGCCGTAGGGTTGAGCAGCAGCCTCAGCCAGCCAGCCTCAGCGGCATCCAGGATGCTCCAGTGGGCTCGACGTGGTCCCCATCATGACAAGCTCTGTGTACCGTCACCCTGGTTCAGGAAGGCCGGACATGCGCCTTGGGCCCTCTGGCGCGCTTGTCGCCCTTGCCTGACAGCCATGATGGACATGTTGGGTTTGCAGTGTCAAGCAACGGGGTCTACATGTCTTCGTGATGCCGTTTCCCCATGGCAAACTGCGCTGAACTGGTGTCTCGAGCAGGCCGGCCGTCGACACGAGGCAGGCCTCTCCAGCGCCGCACGATGCACGTTGCAGTCAGCACTTGGGCGTCGATCAAACGGGTGCTGGTGCTGGGTGCGGACCGGGCGCGAGTAGTGTGATCGTCACCGGCCCTCACATTGAAGGACACGAGGTCGGCGAGGTGCGCTTGGCATCACGACGTCTCCTTTTCGGGCCTGTCGTTCTCCCGAGGCTAGCGCGGTGCACTCACATCGAACTGGGCGTGTTTCTGGTGTTCTATTTTCTGGCGAGTGCGACACACAACCTGTTTCCTGAGGCGTGTGTCTCTGGCCGCGCTGGGGTGGTGTTGAGGGTGTCTGCTGGCGGCCGTTGGTGGGCTGGAGTGATCTGCCGGCGGGACAGTAGCGAAAAGTAGCGAGCCCGCTCAACTGGATAGCCTGCACCAGTGAGCGCCTGCCGTGGCATTTGGAATATTGCCAGCTAGTACAGTAGCCCTCGATTTGCGCTCCAGCCCTTTTCGGCAGCCTCGGAGGCCACTCGTGCACGCTTTGGGATGGGCAAAACCGTTGCTGGCCAAAACACATCGTCACTCTCGCTCCCATTCTATCGTCGCCGAAGTCACCCACTAGGGCGATCGCAACCTGCTGCGGGTATCTTGGTTATACCGTGACGCTATTATCTCGATCGTCCTGCACGCTGCAGCGAGACCCTCGAGGGCAGCGAGTGAGGCTGTCCGTCGCCCAACTTTCTCCATTTATCCCCAGCCCGACGTCGACCTATTACGCCATCGGTGGGGACACTGTACATGTACTCAATCTGATACCGCTGCTGAAGGCTATATCGCGAGTCACCCATGTCGGCGCCGCGCAGAATAGAGACAGCCTCGTCCAGACTGCTGCACACCCCACGCGACATGGTTCCAACTCTGTTCCCTCACCCAGCACCAGGGCTTGGTTGCGTTCGGATAGACCGAGGTCTCGCCATTCCTTGTCCGTCGCATGCGGCGCAGGCGTGGCTGATGCATCAGATCCGGGGGTTTCATCGCTCTTACCGTTAGCGGCCTAGCGCGTCCCGGTTGCAAGGCCTAGCGTTCACGGGACGCACAGCATCCGGCCGAGTGGGTGCTTTGTTTCGCTGAGCCTCAGCCGCTTTCTGCTGCACATGCGCTCCAATGCAGCAACCTCGCCGTTCACCCGACGACTTTATTTGTCCAATCTGCCCTTGCCATCCATACGTTCGCTTCAAATCGCCTGCAGGACTCAACGGTCGCCGTCGCCGATCGCTTCCGAGCCCGCAATTTCGACGAACGAATGACAATTCCATGCGTTGCATTTGCAATTCTGCTACATGCACGCAGACGTTTGGCCCGCCGCTGATTCAGCACCCCGTCTTGACCAGGGTCGTGAGCGATCGTAGGAACAAACTCTCGCCAAACACGCAGGCCTGTCTTTCGCGTTCGGATTCGCGCAACGGCTGTTTGTCTTGATAGCGCCCTGCCTGAGTCGCCTAATCGCCAAACCATGTACCACCGAATGTCATCCATGACCCTCGACCCCTTCTGTTCCTCGGAGCACCGCGCGGGGTCTTCCGCTTGGTCGATGGAATCTGAAATCCTAGCTCGCTGCCCATCGTGGTTGGCTGCTTCGTACGTCTGCCGCAGCTATACGCCTGCCCATCCTCAACCATGCCGCGCAGCATCCCGTCCTGTGGGACGAACGGTGGTTCCAACACTGAGATGTGGCTCCTGCCGTGTTCGCTGCAATGTCTGAGCAGGACAATTTGCAGACACAGCATTTCGCCATGGCTAGCACGCTTTCGTGTCACGTCTTCCATATGACCTCGACCGAAGATGCTCGGCCCTTGGTCTATATCCATGTCGACGCTGCAACTGCTCCCGATGCCAGAGTGCATCCTGTGCAAGAGCGGCATCTTTCCGCGCTACCTTCCGCGCGCCTCGTCACCCTCTTGCGAGTCGCGGAATATTGGATGTCGTCGGCGAAAGTCCCCTAGCCAGGATTGCCCTCTCTCTTGGCCGGCACAAAGAGAGGATGTGCGCGGGTGGAAGGGGATGAAAGACCCACGGATTGGCAAAACCTTCGCAACGTGTTCCCTGCAAGTGACTCTACGCCTCCATCACCAAGCGTCTCGCAACACACGCCGCATAGTGCACCCGATGTGCACCTCACAGCAACGGCGACCGATGTCGACCAAGTTACCATCTTGACATCCTGCGCTGTGCAACTATATGATCGCCGAGGACGGTTCTAGAGTCAACAGTAGTACGCTCACACCTTGCTTGTCTGACTGCCCCGCCCCCAATATCGTATTGGTAGTGATAAATCGTCATGGACGGCACAATCCGACCAGGGTTTGCGGAAGCACGCACTGCCGTAAACAATTCTCCAGCAAAGGAAGGGGTGCGAGACCCGTGTGGATTTGCATTTCCTCGAATAACTCTCCATAGGATCAGACAGGGATACCCAGCCACGATCTCACAGATCAGATTAACGAATGATCTGCGCTCAGCCAATAACAAAGCCAACTCGCTGCGTCAATCTTCTGAAACTCATTACCCACCTTCGACTGTCGTTTGTTCTTCCGTCGTGGCTTGTTCATATCGACCGGGACTCCCATTGGTGGTGGCGCGTACCGCTCTTCCCAAAACAGGTTGCGGTTGACGAAACGTCTTCAAATTGAGGTTTGCAGCTCACGGTTATTTGACAGCGGCACACCAGCGGCCAAACTGATCGACTTGTCCGCGCAGTGGCCCGCACCAGCCTCACTATACAAGGCACCCACGCATGGGTGGCAGCACAGCTCAGCACCTGGCCTACATGCGACTTTTGATTTTACATTCCACGCTGCACTCATGCTTCAGAAGTCTCTGGGGTGGTGGCACTACACCACCGTGCAGTCTTCACGCAGGAGCTCATGCAGTAAATTGTCGTCTCTGACTCGTCATCGACTCCATCTGCACACGTTAGCGCGCTGCTGCGGCGCATCCTCTCGACTGGTCCAAAGCAAGATGCGGCGCCAGCGAGGGAAGGCCGTTTAGCTTAGATCTGAGCGGCCGCCGAATCGGATCGGCATGCCCCACCAAAACCCCTTTCTCCTCGCTCAAAGGGCTGCAAAAGTAAGTAAAACCATATTCTGGTCAGCAATTGCTATCCAAAATCAGCAGCCAAGGTTGTTGGCATCCTGTACGACTCGTCGCTCGGCCCATGCCGACACACACCTTGTTGTTGCCTCTCAACATCTCCATGATTCGCCGGGAATGTGCGTGACTTGCATCACCCGCCCACACGGAAAATAGCACTGGACGGCTGATCATCTGTTTCGGAATTTCACCGTCTGGCGAGACGTTAATGGCGTTGATCACGATGACACCTTACCAAGCCCTTTGGGGATCGTCAATAGACATGATGCGGATGACCTCGCCGAGATACTAGCACTTGGTGATGGATGCATGTGCACGCAAAATCTTGTACTAGGACCGGCCTGTCGGTCCAGGCACTTGGTTCCGTACCTATTGAATGAACCTATGCCACCGATCCCGCGTTCGGCCGTGGCCATGCAATGCCCGCAGCCGCACCACTACCCGCACAACATGGAGCGGCGCCGAACCCTCAATGTCAACGCTTGAGAAAGCTTCCTCTTTACTGTACTCCCAAGGTCGGCCATGGTGTCATACTCGTTCCTTTGCTTCAGGTCCATGTGCGCGTGCTATGATCTGCAACACTGATGATCGACCGGATGACCACATCCGGAAGGAGATCCACGACTCGTGAG